TGTAGCGCCCCCCCCGGCCGCCACCACCCCTGGCCCCCAGCCCGCAGTGGGCAGCCTGCATCTGTCCTTGTCCCACATACAAATCTAGTGGGGTACATGCCCCCCATGACTCCATGGGTGTGTGCAGCAGCAGGGAGCTGCCCCCACCTCCCCCCTGGACGAGCCACCCAAGCTCTGCCCTGCACCCCGCTATGAGGTCGCATTCGCCACGTTGGCACTGCGTTCCTGGCTGCATGCATGCTGTGGCTGCGCACATGCACACAACATTTATTGGTGACATTACTGGCCAAAAAAAGCTGATTGCCGATGTTAATTTTCTAGTTTTCGGTGCCAATCCAATAGGCAACCAATATATCAGTGTGCCTCTACAATAAATAAAAGACACTTTGCTCTCTAAGACACTAGCAAAACACTGCAAGACAACTATATTATTCAACATCAAACTTGTACTATATAGGTAGTTAATTGTTGTGGGGTAATACCACTGATTCCTCCTAAACTGAAAGGCTGTTAAACATCTATATCTAAACACAGGGTTAATGACAAGTGGCTTTGTAGTGTCATTAGTATCAGCTGCTAAAACCCAATACCTTCTATGCTTCTTAGGTCTAAGAGGGAAAAAATAGCCTGTGTCAATTTTAATCTCACTGGAAAGCTATACACTTTCCATTATGAAGTTTTTATCTACCACACATAGAAACAAGATCAGAATTTATTGGCATATTGATCTACTCTGAGTCAGATATTTTTAAATATGTCTTTTAAAAAATATTTTAAAAACACAGGACCTATAGAAGAATGTTTTGCATTCTTAAGTTTCTCTCCATTTATCCGAACTGTACAACCAGTCCAATAAAAGATATTACCCAAAAAATCCTTGTAGCATCATGGCTACAACACTTCACTCTAATGCTCAGATTACCAACATATTTGAAGAAAACAGGATGATACTTCTGCACAAGGAAGTCTTGAAGCCATTGATATGACTCATTTTGATGTGCCTAATGGAAGAAAGGCATGGAAATGTCTTAAGATGTGGATCCAGGATCATCAATAGAATGAGGTTTCTCTCTAAAACCACACGGTCTTGATTTAGACTAGTAGTTCTCAATCTTTTCAGATCCATGGCACCTGTCCACAGAGTTCCCTCTAAGCTACGTGGCATGCACGGCTGCGCAGGTGTGCTCATGCCATGCTGCCAGGTGCGCCTGCACACACCACGCAGCTTAGAGGGAACGCTGCCCATCCACTATTTTTTAAAAGAGTGGTGGCATCTCTAGATGACAGGCACTGTTAGTGCTGCCACCAACTTACCTCAGAGTGCTTCTCAACTAGGTGCTGCTGCCTCCAGATAAAACTGCCCCATGCCTACCTGCACCGCCATCCCAGGAAGGGCTCTGGTGTATGCACATGCTCCTCTTACATTACGGTTTATTTGATCAGCCTAAAGCAGGTAGGATCTGCCTTTTGCTGTGGTGTCCTTCTTGGTTTGGCTCCCCTCAGAAACAAAGATGCACAGAAAGTTTTGTCCCCAGTGCAGCACAAATGAGCACGGGACAGTTTTATCTGGCTGTCATTGTGGTGGCAGAGCATGCATGCCAGCACACTTGAGAGGGATTTGCAGCACCCTGGTTGAGAACCACTGATTTAGACTGTTGTTCTAGCAATCCGATTCATTGTGCCAAGCCAGCTAACAAAAGCAGGACAAAATAATCAGAGAAACAGCACTATTCTAATCAAAAACTATGGTCATGAGTAAAAAAGGTAGATGATACCATATGATGTTTCAAAAAGGAACAGCTTTGCAGACCAAGTCTGAAAAAGATCTAGAAGGGCATTAAACAAACAGATGGTCTGTGTATGAGACAACTATTAAAATATCTTGAGAAACAATAAGTTCCAGATCAAATCTTAACTGAATTCAAACCACAAATCCAACTGTTGATTGGTGTTACTGCCAGATTCTTCCATCATTTTAGTTGGTCTATGCAGTCAAAAGCTCACTTTCGATTTACGAAGGCTACACATAAATGATTTTGTCTTTTCGTGTATTTTGATGCCAAATAATAAGACAAGCAGTGGTTCATACAAAAACAGCCTTTTCTAAAACCAGCCTGCTCTTCTCCCATAACGCTATTTTCTGAGATTCATGTTTGTAGCTG